AAAGATGCGAGCACTGGAAGAAGAATTTTATTTTCCTGACGTTTCGGATTCTGCCGAGAATCCTTAATCATAGGCAATGGTAGGATTCTCGGTAGAATCCGAAACGTCAGGAAAATAAAATTCTTCTTCCAGTGCTCGCATCTTTTTCTGAATTGCTTACTGGAAGTCGCCTATTCACATCTATTGGCAGTAGGCAGGCTAGCGATTCGGAAAGATCTCCCAGCGAAGTTGCACGATGACTAGGAAGTGGACACTGAACAAGCAAGTCAGCCAACAATGTTGGCTGTCCGTCATAAAGATACTGCCGTGATTCCCGTAGTTAACTATTCTATCAAAGAAGGAGTACGAGCCTTCTTTCAAGCACAGGTTACCCAAACAAATCTTCCACAATGGAATCTGGGCTTAGCAGTAGAGAGTTAGCGCATTACCGATCAGGCATTTGTCATTCTAACAGACAGAAGGTTGATTTAAGGCCGATTGTTCTTTAAACTTTTACCTTTATATACATAAAATTAAAAAAAACTTATGATTGAGGTGTTCAAAGAGCGTTGTTATAGCAAACTTAGTACTATGGTAAATAACGACATTGCTGCCAGTTGGTGCTCTGCGTAAGCAACCAGATAAACAGCAGAACTTAGTAGTATGGCAAGCAGAGTACTTCGTATCGGCCAGCTGTTCGTCTTTTTAAGACGAAAGTTCAAGGTCCCTAGAAGATATGGTGCACTAAGAAGGAAGCAGTACAAAATTGCTACGATGAAATCTGGGCAGATTTCAGCGAATGCCCACTTTCAAAAAACAGTAAAAGAAAAAACTGGAGAAGGGAAAACATACCAGAGTAGACTACTAGCAGCTATGGCTGCCAATGAGGGCCGAGAAATGAAACCCAAAGCAGAGCGGGACAAGTGAGTTTCGTTGGCGGTCGGTGAACATTCATTAACGAATGTCAAGGGCAAATTGTTACAATACAGTGAGATTGGACCGTGCTGTTGATGAGAACATGTGATCATTCGAAAGGCTAATGTTCACTACTGTATCACAGTACTACAGGATCAACAATCAGACGGCGAGGCACGTTCCATATTCTTGTTCAAACCTCAACGCCTATTACGCTAATATAATTTTTGTATAGGTCATAGGGCCATTCTATAGATATGCTTCAGCACCTATAGAAGAGGAAAATAAAATTCTACATAATCATAAAAATGTAATATCAGAAGCTAGCTTTCTCTACTGCAGGTTGAGCCAGTTAAGCATTTTTGTGATTAAAGATTTAACTGAAAATTAAGACTTTATTTGTTACTGAGGTCTCTTTAAAGACGTGAAACCCAAAGGACACACATGAAAAGAGCACATGACAAAAATGTAAACAACCAAACTGTTCACACATCATTGAAGCTATCATTCAGAGGGACTGAGTTTAAATGTCTTTACGTTAATTGGATTCTTTTATGCCCTTCTGTGGCAGCCTTCACGAGTGGGTGTCGGCTAGGAAGAAGTGAGAGTAAATATACTGACTGCAAACAACTCGGCCGAAATATATTTTACAATTGAACTTTTG